AAAACAACGTTCAAACCTATGATTGCGTTGAATAAAAACCGCAATTTTTATACGTGTGCATGCAAAACAAATTTCTTGGTAGAGGGGTCTAAATACAGCACAAACAACATTTTCCAAAAGACCAAAAAAGTGAAAAAGTATATTTTAACAAAACGCATTTGACTAGCAGGTCGAACAACTGATGTTCTTAAACCCTGCTGACTGCCATTGGCGATTGCCAAATAAACGGATCACCAGATGTAGCAAAATGGATCTTATAATAATTTATTACCAAATAGAATATATATATATATATCAAACACACTGAGATCCAGTGGGCATATATATTGTATGGTTGTCACTTGCTTAGACTTGTTTGTATGATATACTTATTTCTAGTGACTGTATAATGAATTGAATCATTATCCCATACGGTATATAAAAATTGTTGAGTTAGATTGCTGACAAATAACAAATACATTGTGTATTAAATAATAATATAACATCTTCACACGCTTAAAACACATGTCTTATGTCTATCTCTAGATTCGCCTTACGTGACAAGGTAACACTACGACTATTGAAGTTATATTTTTATATAGCGGATGTGTTCGTGTGGTCTAGAGCGCTGGACATGAGGCTAAGCGATTGGTGCTGTAGTGTATCAAAGGTGTGAGTTCGAATCCCGTTGAGGGACAAAAATTTGTCAGCATAAAAGTCTAATTCTAACACTGTTGGGTGTAATTTTCAGACTTATATAAATATTTGTATTAACCCTGTGTCTCAAACACACTAAGATCCAGTTAGCATATATATTGTATGGTTGTCACTTGCTTAGACTTGTTTGTATGATATACTTATTTCTAGTGACTGTATAATGAATTGAATCATTATCCCATACGGTATATAAAAATTGTTGAGTTAGATTGCTGACAAATAACAAATACATTGTGTATTAAATAATAATATAACATCTTCACACGCTTAAAACACATGTCTTATGTCTATCTCTAGATTCGCCTTACGTGACAAGGTAACACTACGACTATTGAAGTTATATTTTTATATAGCGGATGTGGTCGTGTGGTCTAGAGCGCTGGACATGAGGCTAAGCGATTGGTGCTGTAGTGTATCAAAGGTGTGAGTTCGAATCCCGTTGAGGGACAAAAATTTGTCAGCATAAAAGTCTAATTCTAACACTGTTGGGTGTAATTTTCAGACTTATATATATATATATATATATATATATATGAGCCTCGTCGGATAGAAATCGACCTTATGCAAGTGCACGTATACATGCACACGTGTAAGACTTTGATTGATTTTAGAACATTCAAATACAAAGCAAAAGATGAATTTGGGTCGGTTTTGTAGGGTTCTTATATCAACTCAATTTTTAAACAGTTATAGACTTTGCATAGAAATTTTTTTGACCCGAAATAAGTTAACAGATGTATTGACATTCATTTGCATAAGGTCGATTTCTATCCGACGCAGCTCATATATATATATATATATATATATAAAAGGACTTGATGGTTTATCCCAATGTTGTACTAAATGCTATGGTCTTTAAAGGTAAATCCATCACACACCAAAGTCTTTATATTTAACTAAACTGGTTATTATTTAAATGGGTTTTTCTCTTTCGAGAAAAATTTTAGAGTATGTGTCAAAAGTTATAAATATTTACTCGGTTAAAATTTACATCTTTTAACTTTCATCGCAAGGTAAATAGAAAATTAACGAAAAATCACTAAAAGCTGGAATATTATTTCAAAGATATTTTTCATTTTACAACTTTATTACGACCATACAATCATGACAATAAAAACCTTTTAAAATGTATTGCATTGGAATAACAGTATGTTCAGAATATGCTCTGAAGCATGCCAGGAAGAAAATGAAAATGAATATAAATTTATTTTATGTATAGCAATATATTTATTTTATATATTTATTTATTTATTTATCTTTATTAAATTTTTTTTTTTTTTTCAATAGAAAAATCAAATTCCTGATGTATATTAAGTTTGTTTTAAGTGTAAATTAAAAGTCCCCAAACTTATCAGTGCCGGATAAGTAAGTTTGGTGGATTCCTGTTATTTTTATAGTGATATTATCGGTATAAATTATTACTATTAATATTGAATGGTGGTATTCACCAGTTATTAAATTTCTAAAAAGCTGTATATTCAAGATTATGACTAAAGCTTAACTTTTTACCGAATCATGAGTTACGCAAAATATTCCTAAAGTCTCATATCAATTGGAATCACAACAAAAATAAATGAGAGTTGAAAAGGTCTTCATTAGATACTTATTTACTTATTTCAATTTGAACTTTTTCCTTTAGAAATTTATCTATGATCTTTATACAATTTCGATTGAAAAATGTCAAGTGTAGTACATGTATGAGGATCAGTTGCTCAGGATCCCATATAGAAATAGTTGGATATAAAACTTCGTTTTTAGAAAGGATCCAAGGCTTCGTAAAAATGTACTTCTATTTTGTTTGAAGATTTAAGATTAAAGATAAAGTTTCTGTTAATTAATGTACTAATTGTCTGTACTAAAATATTTAGGGGATACAATTATTTAAATGTCTAGATGTAAGACGAAATATGAATTCTGAAGCATATAATTAAAGACGATTATATTGTAATTTTATTGCTGTGGTCCTGATCGGGATAAGATTTACACATTTAATCATTTTCATCAGTAAGAGATAACTTAAAAGTAATATCTTGGTATATGATCATATGAACTTTTATAATTCTGCTCAATGTGGCAACGTTTTACAAAAGTAAAGTGTTATTTTTTGGTGTACATGTATGTGAATGTCATGCTTGTAAATTTTTTCAAGTTATATGTAAATTGTATTAACGTCGCCAGAGTCCTCGGGTGGGGGATCCACTCTTTCAGCCTAAGAGTAGATTTGTGGCAGATTTTTCTCCCCACCTTTGCTATTCTTTGTCATTTATTCAATTGATATGATATTAGTTGATGTAATTTCGTATTAATTATGTATTACTATTTCATATTATAAATGAACTTTTAGGTCAAATGTTTTATTTGCAAAATGTATTTTTTGCATTTTATGATTTTGAATAAATGACATTTTTTCGTCAGTTTAGTTTTTATATCATATAGCAAATCAAGCTCAGACTCTGGCCTCTGTATACATGTACATAGTATGTTTATGGTATCTAGCTGTCTGTTTTAAAACCAATTTTATTTGCTAATTGAAAATTAAGCTGAATAAAATAATTTAAGACAGCAGAGAAGATAATTCTGTTTTAATTGGTTATTACTAAGACTTAAATAAAGAGTGAGCTATTTATACTGTAAATTAATGATATCTCTAGTCTGGTCAAATGGTCAGAGTGTCCTACTTAATTAAACGATAAATTGTTGAAATTAGATAACATGTTTTCACATGCAGAGAAATTTCACTTATGACCAGTGCATGATTGGATTTCATCTTTCTTATTGGTCAATGATCTTGTGGGGTCAGCACGAGTTCGCGTGTAAGTGCATTGTGGTCATTTCCTTTTATCATCAGCATTTGATGTGTTAACTTGTGATTCTTATCAAACAATTTGTTGAAAATTCCCACCCACATACCTCCCTTAATGTTATCTTTTGGAGTAGATATGTATATATATTTATTTACGGTCAGATTTTTCTCCCCACCTTTGCTATTCCTTGTCATTTATTCAATTGATATGATATTAGCTGATGTAATTTCGTACTAATTATGTATTATTATTTCATATTATATATGAACTTTTATGTCAAATGTTTTATTTGCAAAATGTATTGTTTGCATTTCATGATTTTGAATAAATGACATTTTTTCGTCAGTTTAGTTTTAATATCATATAGCAAATCAAGCTCAGACTCTGGCCTGTGTATACATGTACATAGTATGTTTATGGTATCTAGATGTCTGTCTTAAAGTATATTATTCTTTTCCGAAAATGGTTGATTGTTTCCCTATCTTTTGTTTTAAAATATAATTGATTGTGTTATACATCCTTTCAGACGTATATTTTAATATATATATCGCCTCGAAGAGGGAGGTTTACAGTAATGGATGCACATTTCCGTACGTTCGTTTGCCCGTTACTAGTTTGGTTTCCCGATAATAATTAAAGTATTGCTTGACTAAATAATTATTTTTGAATAATGTCATGGAGCAAAACTACTGATGGAATTTGATGATTTTGACATGTACCATTCAAGAGTTATTCCTTTAGTTACCGTTTTTTTTTTGTCTTTTTCGGGTGATAATTAAAGTACCATTTGAAAAAGTCTTTTGAAATTTATAAACAATGTCATTGATCCTAAAATTTCAGTCAAGTTTGATATTTGCGATGGTTTTGACATTGATCGTTTAATAGTTATGCACTTATTTATCTTAAATTTTTATTTATTTCCAAGTGATAATGAAAGTACTGTTTGACTAAATCTATTTAGAGTTTAACAAAATGTTATTATATATAAAGTACAGCTCATGTTCAATTTGAATTTTGTTTTTTGTTTTTACTGTTTAAGGGGTTATCTGCAAGCGGGTTTATCCGTGACCAATAGATTGCCGAGTTCTAGTTTATTTTATGTATAATTTAATGTTATCTCTCTTCATAACGACCCGAAGCCTTATATACAGGGAAGTGGACATTTTGTCGCTCACATATCCACAAAGGAACTAATTATTTCAAAAGACATAAATCTAAATAATAGAAATGATGTCACGTAGGCTGTCTTTTAATTTTTGGTATTTTCCTTATTAACAATGATTAACGCAAACAATCATTTAACCGCTAGCGACATATGCTTGAGAATGAATGAAAACCCTTCATCAGAGTGATTTTTTTGCTATGTTTCCTACGTCAAAAATAATAGGTTTTTCTTGATCTTATGGCTTTGCAGATGACAGATTTTATAAACATATTTTTTCTTTATCTAAATGAGAGTAAAAATATTTAGTGAATATAACATGGCTTTTATTTTTATACCTCAGCACATGGACAACTGTTTTACTGTTTGGTTTATAACATCCATCTGTACAAATATTCCACCCGTTCTTTATTGATCCATGTCGACTTCGTTTAGCGCAAAAAAAATGTATTGTTGTTGTTATTCTATAATAAATAATAAAATGTGTTTATAAACAATAGAGAAAAATTAAGTAAGAGAGGAGACAATAAAATAACTCATATATAAGTATTCAGTTTAAAAAAAAAGTTTCATCAATGATAAATGTTCCCGGATGACATTTTAAATGATTCTGATATGACATAGTAGACATATTTGTGTTGTTAGTATGACACAATTCAAAAAACTCTTCTAATATTTTTTTTTGTGTGTTTTCAAACACCAGAAGAAAAAAAAATCTACAGATGAAATGATGAAATAACACATCGTCCGCATCCCAAGTCAAAATACATGGCACCAAATGTCGTCCTTCCAGTGAAGAAAATTCAATATCCGTAATGCTGCTAGAAAATTGCATTAATTAAAAAATCCTGATTATAATAAGTACTACTTACTGAAAAATGGCCGTAATATAAATATAAAAACTACCAAAATGTTTTGATATATAAATTCGTCATTCGGTTTAACTGTTGTAACGTTGTAAGATATTAAGACTTATATGATAATAGAATTGTTGATGGGGCTGCATTGTACTAATGTAAATATAATCATCTGGATCGGTTTATGGAATTTGAACATCGGTATACTACTGTAGCCTATGTTTATATACCTAGATGAGGGCGACAAGAAAAGGCAATACTCGACTAACAAAAGTTATTTTTTTATAAAAAGCCTAGTTGGCTGAGAAGTCTACGGCATATGACATAGTGCAGGTAGTGTTGCCTTGATGTCATATAAGCATGAATTTATATCCAGCTGAGGGAAAAACAAAATTTCAGACGAGGTATATTTTTGTGTGTATTTAGCCCTGCCTAAACCTACATTAACTTATGGGTAATTTTTGTCAGGACGATATATATTTATATTACTTCACAATCTAGTTTTCAAAATAACAAACATATAAAACAGCCACCGATTAGGTTCCTGACTTAAGATAAGAAAACTTGTTTTTTTTTTATATAAATAGCTCACCCCTTTAATCTCCACCAGTTAAGTGGCAAATGGCAAACAGATAATAGAAAAAAACAATAGAGAAACACAACAATAATAGGCAATATGTATCAAAGAATTATCGCAGCTAATGAATGTAGCTCAATTTGTAAAGCTGCTCATATGAAATCTCACACTTCATAATTATTCTGATAGTTCTTTCAGCCAACTAGGTACAAACATGAATACTCGATGTACTTATTGATCAATGAAGTTATACAAGATAATCATACTGGTTTGTATTTCCAAGTAATAGCTGTACGTACCTTTGATATAGACAATCAATAACTTTTTTGGATAATGTTGTCAAAATATGGTCAGGTGGAATGAAGAAAGTACCATCGAAAGTTCGGTATTGTTCAATCTAAAACCAATAAATTACTTTCAGTTCAAACACGTTACACTATATCAAAGAAAACAATGTTACATTCGTTAATGATCAAAATCTGAAAAAAAATATACTATTTCCATTACAAACAATATTTTGGTATAACTTGAATGACTCATATCAAAAAGGCCTTTTGTTGGCTAATACAAATACAACACACTTTCTTGAAGTAAGTAATTTAGTATGACGTCCATTATCACTGAACTAGTATACATATTTGTTTAGGGGCCAGCTGAAGGACGCCTCCGGGTGCGGGAGTTTCTCGCCCATTGGTGGCCTTCGGCTGTTGTCTGCTCTATGGTCGAGTTGTTGTCTCTTTGACACATTCCCCATTTCCATTCTCAATTTTAATTTGTTTAGTTTTCAGTCTTACATGTAGTTTTCTTTAAGAACGATTTTGTATAAAGCTTTTTTCGAAATATCATACGATAATCAACCAGATTGGTTAACTTCTTTAAAAAAGAAACAGATGATTTGTCCAGCTTTCTTTTATCTACATCATTATTTTGGAATAAGAAAATAGGGGGATAATTTTAAAGTCATAATTTGTCTATGTATATATTTTGCACCTTTAAAAGAAACTTTACAGCGGTCTGTGATGGACAGTGCTGAGGTTTTTTGTCAAACAAGGCCACAATGATCAAATGTAAAACTCGAATTATAACAGTTGATTTGATATGGATTGCCATATTCACTAACACCCACTGGAATAATTCGATCTAGCTGTATATGTAAACCAGGAAGAAATGACAATTGAACTAGGTTGAAATCATTTCACCTGCTTTTTGGCATATTTTAGTGATATATTCCCCATATGTTGTAATAGGGTCTAATAATAAAATTACACAAGTATCTGCCGTATTTTTCTTTAAAGCTGATTGTCGTAGTTGTTCATCTATTCGTTTGGGGTGTTCTGTTTGTGGATCAGTTGGGTTGAGTTTTTCTGACATTTTTTAAAGACAGTGTTTCTAAAATAATAATAGCAAGTTTTGTGTTTGATGTATAAATATCTTTCTATTAATTGAGGGATGGAAAAGCACGACTCAATTAACGGAGAACTCTTCCAACTTGTAAATCCATAATAATATAAGGTACATTTAAAGTTAAAATTTCAGTATTTTCTTTGAGAAAATTTAATGAAAAATTAATGCTTTATAGCAATTGACATGAGTAATATCATATAAGATCCTATCAGGAACTCTGGTCGCTGAGGCAAATGACAAAAAGTCCTCTGTTCTTTCTAGCTTCGGTCGATATTTGATGAAGATTAATTTTATATATATGTTTATTTATCATATGAAAAGTAAACTAGGGATCACTGATGTTTAGAAATGTAGTCATCTCTTGGTATCCTTTCGACGGCAGTAAAAACCTTGCCAAAGTGGGACGTCTATTTTGGCTGTACGGAATGTATAAATCCAATGCCTTGTTTAGCGATTGTCTCACTTTATGCGCACACGTTTAGACATGTTTATACATGATCTCGTCCTTAACATGCATCTACCAATGTAAAAAAAAAGCAATGGCTATTCTTCCGAAAACCCAAGAAAATAGCAAAATATGTCTATTTTTCCGGCTAGCCGGAACATAGTTTATTCTTCGGGCCATCAAGAATAATAGCAAAAGCAAATTATTTTTTATTGAGAAAATCAATAAACAGAATAAAATTTTAAAAAGGGGGGTTATTACCAAAGGATATCTGTGCATGTGCCTAGATCTCCGTTATAGTAGAACTTACAAATCATGTGGCCTAGTACATATGAGTTGGTCGATTTCCTGTTAATTTTATGCGTATTGCATCGATTTGTACAGTCAAAGGTAAAGGAGAAAAACAACAATTCCAGTTTTATTTCACGCTATATTTATCTTTTATGTGCACACGATATTGTTTGGATTCTCTCCTATAAGATTAATTGTTACAACAATCTCGTTCTCTCTCATTTTCTTCAGGACTTCTTCAAATATAATTCACGATATCCAATTTTCAAAATGTCCATTGCAAACGTGCTTTTTTAATCCGATACCTCATCCGGAACACATTTGGCCATATGATACTGCTGCAGCTATCATGAATTTGCGCACATGCTAACGGATGGCCGGAATAAGTAAATTAACACATAATAAATAATATAGATTTTTACCTATTCTTTCCGTTAGCCAAAGAAATAGAAACGTTGTTTAATAGTTGCCATTGGACGTAAAACAATCACCAATCAATCAATAGTATATGAAAATAACACTTTAAAAGTTACTGCGTCCGAAGGTTGTTTTTTTTTTTTTTATTACCCTCCATCAGGGCCGCTTAAAAACAAGAAAATTAAAAGCAGAAAAGTCTCAATACTTGAGGAGCAACAAAACCACAAGAGACATAAAGAACATAGATTAAACAATCTAATAATAATAAAAAGTCGAAATCTACCTAAGTTTCTAAACAATTCCAAAACTTATCATTAGAAATATAAGAATAAAATTGAGAATGGAAATGGGGAATGTGTCAAAGAGACAACAACCCGACCATAGAACAGACAACAGCAGAAGGTCACTAACAGGTCTTCAATGCAGCGAGAAATTCCCGCACCCGGAGGCGTCCTTCAGCTGGCCCCTAAACAAATATATATACTAGTTCAGTGATAATGAACGCCATACTAAACTCCAAATTGTAAATCTATTTTATAAATCATATGATTGAGGAATGACAAACTATATGGTTAATTATACCCTCATGGACAACCACTACACAAGCAGCGGTATCGACCCAGAGCTAGCAAATGAAAATATTAAATTATAACTTCTGTTCGTCCGAAGCGTTTTTTTAAATTCACCTTCATCAGAAGACCAAAAAAGAACTCTAAAAGAATAGCCGACAACGCAATCTAAGCTTAGATCTACCTAAGGGAGTTGGAACCTTTTTCTTAAACCAATTCAGAATTAAGACCCTTTTGGTGATTATTCTCTCAAATGCTTTATATCATCATCTTTCCAAAATTTGGTAACATTTATTTTAGATAGTATTTTAGAAAAACGTGTTATACGTAGAAAAATTGCTGTCATATGTTTGTATCACTTAGTAAGGTGCCACAATAAGTGAGAAAGTTTTTTGGTGTTAACAAGACTAAATGATACTGTCCCTACTAACTTTTCAACTCAGATATACCCGATAAAAGTAGTATACATGCGTTTGCACAAAAATTGGCTTTATATTTGCTAAATCCCGTCCATCCTGTCTTAAATTTTCAAATGTTGAAAGTAGTTACAGTTCGTATGCAGTTGTAATCTTCTTTTGGTTTAAAATCTCCTAAGGCTGAATCTGTAATCTCTTTCTGAAAAATACAATTGGTATTGCCAAATAGGGTTGAGCTATCCGTATCACCAATATCACTGTACACATGGAGTTGAAATATCCATAACATCATTTGTTACTGAACACATTGACACTACATTGTTAGTTGGCGCGGTATGTACTTTTTGTCTTTTTTTGGTTTATCAGCTCTTCATTTTTTTTAATTAGTTTTTGATTTTCAAATATTTTGGCCTAGAGCATCACTGAATGGACATTTGTTGTCGAAATGCGCATCTGGTGCTCTATAGTGAATATCATCTCAAGCTTTCCTCATTGTTTAGCTTCTATTTTTTTTCTTTTTTGTATAACATTAACGATTGGAAATCGACAGTTCCTTATTGATTACACATATATATATATATATATATATATATATATATATATATATATATATATATATATAAGTCTTAAGATTTGCACAACGGTACTAATATAAGATTGTAATATACGAGGATGATGTTATAAAATCGTGATGACAAATATTTCGGCTTAATAAATAGCCTTCGTCAGTGTCAATAATTTTTACAATACTAATTGTTAGTATATATTAATAGAATGCAAGACTATACTTAAGAATAGCTGAGAATAGCACAAATGTATAGACTTAATATTGTATATGCTTATGTACTCGAAAGTCTTTTCATCCTTTAATTCGTGTGAATGTTTTTATAAAAACGTTTCCCACGAATTATACATAAAATACTCAGTTGTCACTGCTGTTGATCATAAAACCGAGAGGACTGTCCACTCAATATATTGGTACTGGCATGATTAAAATGATAAAATATAATTAAAAAATTTTAAAACTAAGGTTGAAACTGCCTAAGGCAAAGTTGATCTTAACACTTTTATCAAATATGAATAGATTCGTTTTGCTGGACAGCTGTTAAACTAGATCCTTTTTAGATTGATCACACTTTTGGATTGGCTTGCTTAAACACTTTATATGTGAATTAAGTCTCATGAATCTTTTAAATATACTTAAACTAAGTTTGCAACATTCTCTGCCGAAGTTTGTCAAAGATGGGTTTCTGGTCAGATTTTAGGATTCATATTGGTACTGTTACTATGCTTGTTTAATTGAGTCATTTCTTTAATTTTACACAATTGCAATACATAGAAGTTTCACATGATTCTATAATTTTGATTGGCTTTGGCATTCTAATATTTTGTTCCCGTTTAAAATACAACATCTATGACTGCACGTCCTCCCTGTGACAACGTTAAAATAATGCATAGAACAACTTGATTTAACTGTTAATTCATTTTTGTAGCATACAAATGTATTTATATGAATTGAATGCTTCCTTTTAAAATTATTAGGGTTGTAAAAGTGTTTCCAGCTGAATTCAATTTGTGCTTTGATCAACGTTTTGATATCTTAATAAAATTACAAAATGAAGGATGTAATTCTTTAATATTGAAAGTTGCTGCCCGTTTGGGGTTAATATTCATAATGTGTCTAAAAAAACAGAAAACAAATCTAATTTATAAATACAAAATTTCTGTGCCATGATATTGAACATTGTGCTTTTTTTAATTATTGACTCAGCTTAACCATTTTTTTTATTATTATTTTTAAGAGCAAAAGACAATTAGATAAAGATGTAAAAACTGTAAATGGAGGTATCAAATGTGTGTAAAGAACTGAATTAACGGATAATTTAATTGTGTAAAAAAGGGATTTATAACTCGTTGAAGCTGCGACACAAAAGTCCATCCGGCGAATATCACGAGTCATTATACACATCCAAGTTGAGAAATGGAAGAAAAGGCTACTTTAAAATCTACCTGAAATAAAATGGGCGTATTGACCTATTTGTTAACGCTACACTATAAGGCTTTCCAAGTGATTGGAATGGGATTATTGGAAGGATTGGCATAGTGTGTGATAAAATTTTATGAATGAATTTGATGTTTGATTCACCAAGGTTCACTTAAACGCACTTTATGACAATACCATTGCGTAAACCAGAATTTTGCAGTATAACAAGAAATGAAGTTGCTATATATCTGCGCAGTATTTGTTAATAAATAGACACTTTAATAAAGCTAAGTTGCTGTATAAGAAATAATTTTGTTGACTTTGAAGTCCAAACTTTCTATTGCTTTACATACGTTAATAAGAGTTGGGAAACAATTACAATACAGACGCATAGGTTTTATTTAATTTACCAAAACATTTGGTTGATTATTGTATGTTAGTAATTACATGAAATTAGTGTAAAAGATCTATCATTTTTCCCCTACCAAATTTAAGCCTAAAACTTATTTAGAAATGGTCTGGTCATTGTTATTGAACATAACGCAATTCGATTGGATGGTTATTGCGTCGCCTTTTCCAGTTTGTCTGTTGAAACTTTTCCTGCGTGTATGTAAGAACGTGAAATTTTATAATGTTACAAAATTTGTTAAAGAAGACAGGGATGACAACTCTGACGTTAAAATTATTTTGAGAAATAATAAAATTACTTTCGTTTGTCAATTAACAATTATAGTTCTGATTTGCTACATGCATGATATGTGTCCTCCTTCTATTTGCAAGTCAAAATAATTGATCATTTATTTACTTTATAGATATGATAAAAACAATGGTCTTATCATAATTACATTATCTAACTTTTTCAAAGTTTCTTATATGAAAATATTTAGCCATTATAAATATAAGTATCCATCTTGTAAATGAAAAGTAGATTATCTGAAAGCAAGTTAATTTGCAATTCTTTTTACACACACGTATAGTTAGTTAATTTGCCATCAAACTGGACACTTGATGAGAGTTTGTTATTTTTATTAATGAAACAAAAGATATGAAAGATTCGATTTGCAAGTTCTAACTTTTTCATATCATAAAATTTTCATAATATAGAGGATTTTTATATTATTTAAATAGCGCATTTTACGTCTACGCAAATATAAAGGAGTAAAAATTGGAGTTCTTGTTCTCGATGTGTCATTTTTAATCCGTTTGTTACTATGGGTCTTGTAGCCGATGTTCCGTTGTCAATTGTTTTATTTTCCTCTGATGAATTTTCTATAAATGAAGTTACATATCTTACAGTTTTTATGTAGAAAATGTCTCCTTTTGATTCAAAAGCTCCTAAGGCTGGGTGTGTACTCTCTTTTGGTTTAAACTTAACTAGTGCTGAGTCTGTATTCTTGATCTGAAAAATACAATAATTCCAATTCACATGACAATAAACTATCTCTACCAGCAATTTTCATTGTAAAAACAGATTGTAAATCATTATAGAAATATGCTAAATATGAATAAAGTAGTTTTAAAGGATTTCAGACGTTTACCAAGAAAATCAGAAACTTTCCAAAGTTTTCTTTTAACTTTTTTACTCGTATGCTAATATTGTGTATAGTCTATTTTTGTTAAATACTAAATTTGTTTGGCATTCATTAAAGACAACTTTTGGGGAATTTTAACCTTGAAATCGGAACACATCTTCAGTGATATGTCTACTTGCGGATGTTACTAAGTAACCAAATTGAAGTTGAAATTGAAGTAAAATGAACATCACAAATAAATTATTATACTCACCTTCAACATCGCCGGCTTAAAAATTCATACAAATTACCATTTTGAAACGGCGTTAGCAACATAACATTTACGGTAACAATTGTACTACAACAAATACACATTTCGACAAATAACGTGTCTTCAGTGATGCTCGAGGCCAAAATAGTTGAAAATACAATGGCTAATGCAAACGTTGAAGAGCTTTAAAACAAAAACAAAAAACTTAGTCCAATCAGGGCTTTGCATAAAGATGTTATTTTCCTTAATTCAAAATGAGTTTCAAGAAAAATGTTTATACAAGAGTCTTGAATATTGGACTGTTAAACCTTGTTATACATTTTTGCATTTAAGACTGTTATAACTACTATAAGCTCTGTATCAAAATGTGTACACAATAGTTTACGTCATATATGTGTTCTGATATTTTTTGGTACAGCTTTGCAACGTTTTGATTAAAATGGAGAAATGTAGGATAAAAAATAAAATCATGGTACAGTAAATTGTTCCAAAGAGAAACCAACATGTCGTTGATTTTACTTTTTATTTTTAAACAATCAACTATTTGTTAGATTATAGTACAATTCTTTTGTACTGCTTGTAAAACGGTTAGAAATTTTGATCTCAAATATATACTTTTCTTTCTTGTCAAGCACTTACCAAGTAAAAATAAACTGTAGGGAAACATAAGCCCTGCTTGTTTTCAGCTTTCATTAGATGGCCTTCTCACTTACCTGTTTTATGTATTGAAATGGTTTTTGTTGATATGTACCATCATCATGGACAGGAATGAAATTCTTATATGCAATTAAAGTCATCAATAATCCAACGACTGAACATGGTAGGAATATTTTCATACCAGCCTTCATATTCCTGAAATAAATAATCTATTTTCTAATTTCATTATTTTTTACTTTGTGTGCATTAGCCAGTTTCTATCTGGGACCATGTTTGCGGTTCTCTTTGTTAATATTAGTGTTTTATCCAGGCATTTGGCGTTGAGGCAGATATAGGTAGTGATAGGTAGAATTTTCGTAATCTTCTAGATATTCAGGATTTAATATTTGGACTATTTAAGAATGCGAATGATATAGGCCAAGTCACCTCCCCTAAAGACATTAGTCATTTTAAAAAAAAAATGTGTGTTAAAGCAAGCAAATAGTTCATGCATTTAATGACCTCTTGTATCATGCTTCAATGCACTAAAGGTCAAGTTACGTTCAGATAGGTGAGTTACGTGGGGAAGTATCAATTTATTGTTTAATCCTGTTACTCTCGACTTCCTTTGGAGTCTTTGCCGCTGTTATACTATACTTCCAAATCATACTTAAATTTCACGTTCTACTATAAATATAATATCTTCTCACTAAATATTTCAAGGTTAGATGACTATGTTGAAAGTCTACCAAATATCTTAACTTACATCTAGAAATTGCCAATGAGGGTCGGTTCAAAGCAAAACTTTACGACAAATAAGATGATTTCACCTTTCATTAGTTAACTTTCCATTTTTATGTAACAACATTTCAGCAGCATCTGTAATATATATCTCTGAGTAGATACAATATTCCAGAGCTTGCATTTTCTAATATAAGCTCCTTGAAAGAATGTCGGTGCTTACAAGGAAGCTATTGTCTAACCTTGTAACAATTGTCTTTATAATTACCACTTGTTCTTTTAATTTCATTGAAAGTGAATACCCTGTAATTGTCCATTGGGCAGGTTCTTTTAACAATCCGTAAGCACTATTTTTAAACTATGTCCTATCTTTTTTCATTGGATTTGTCAATCACTTCGGTCAGGAACGAAGATAATAATACAACTTCCATTTTTCAGTCCTTGTAATTCCTATGGATACAATTTAACAATTGATTGGTTCTTAACACCAGTGTCTGTAGTTAGTCTATTCTATTCACAATAAAAACAAATCCTTACGACTGCTTACAGACGCATAACACTAGATCTATAAGAATTACATTGTATTTGTATGGTTCTCCTACTCGAATAGTTTAAATGTTTTAAACACCAGTTAAGGATCTTAAATATTCAAGTATTCTTTTCAAATTTCCAATAGGATGGTACTGTTTTTGATGTTTCCTGTTAAAAAATTAACAAGATTTTCGATGTCTACTACATGAAAATATGTGGAAACGAATCTAATTTCTTTCTTATGTTTGTTCGATGACTTAAGAAGTTGTTGACTAGTTATGTTTGTTGAAATATACGGACTAATACTAAGCAAACTTAAAAGTCTGTTTGACGATGAATTCAACATATCGATCTTGGCTTCTATTGTAATACGCTAATGTTGCGAATGAATGAAGTCTTGGGTTGTCGTATTCTCAAATACTGAGTATTCCAATCGTTTACTCGCTTTAAAGAGGTCCATAGATACAAATAATTTGAAGAATATAAGCAAGTATTCGAATCAATTTACTAAAGCTGTAATATTCAAGATTAATGAACATGGTGGTACAACTTTTCGATGGTTCATCAATGTAGACGTTCACAGATTTCCCAGTAACTGTGGAAAATGCAATATTTTTGTCTAAGCTGGCTTGATTTACAATCACTTTTGATCCCTGCATCCAAAGTGCATTATATCTAGACTGTTTTACAGTAATCCTGCGGGAAATATGCTGGATTTTAATTTGTTGGGTAATATCTCTATTCACTGTTAAAAAATTTGTACTTTGAGACGAGTACATACAAATTCATGTAACATTTTTATGACTACATCCAACTCGCACTTTTCGACAGTCACACCAGAAATATATCGTGTGTTTGTGCCAAAAACACAATTAGATACTTCTCGAATCTGGCTTATATTAATTCATCAATTGATGTCAGATTTCGGTTTTCATTAGAACAATTCTGTTTCATTTATGGTCAGACAAGATGTGAGATACACATAAGCGTTGTGCTCATTTTTAAATTTATGAAATTGAATCTCTTGTTGTCCTTCAGATTCATCTGTTATTTAACCGTAGATTCGTGTTTTGATTGCTGATTTTATTTCAAAGGAACTAGATTCCTACTTGTCTTTTATCGGATAATACTTTTTCCAACTTCAACCAATTTTTCAATAATCTTTATATAAACTGTTTTTATTTTACAGTAACTGGTGAAATGAATCCTTGATGACTGGCACACCACTTTTCAGACATCCTTGAAAACAATATCCCGGAACGTCTTGATATTTTTCAATCATTTATACAGGTAGTTATCTATGTCTTTGATACGGTCCCTCTATGGATATGGTATCAAATGACATCGTTTATTTCAACAATCAAAGTTTATTTGTAGATCGGAAAGTAGAAACGTTAAGACTAGTTTGCAGTAAAAAAATCATTTTTTATTTTGCAACCTATTTGCCTTGTGACAGAACATGATGATAACACAATACATAGTGCTTTGATACGGTCCCTGAACGCGTTGTGTATGTAGTATTTAATAAAACGTGCTATTGTGCTATTGTGCATTGTGAAAATAAACCAGGGAATTTGACAATATATTATGTTCCAGAAACGAAAGGAAGGCTACATAAACGTATATGCGGCCATAGATTAGACATCAACAACAATGCAAGCGACATTGTTTACCAGCATTTTAACCAGCCTGGTCATTCAATATTTTCTATGCAAGTTCGCATCATTGAAAAAATATACCACAGGACTAACAATCCTCATCTTGCAACACCTCTCCGTAGACAAAAAAGAAGACTACTGGATTCGACAATTGGGATCTGCGGCACCTTATGGTTGCAATGACAAAATTGATGGCATAGGTATTCTATCTAGTCCTTCTGGTAGCTTGGTGAATGTGATGATTCTTTTTAACTCTACTCTTCGACGCAGTCATGGTCATCGTCATTATACATCACCTACTCTCCATTATGTCTCTATTAATGACCTGCTGCCATTTATATAGAAGCCGTTAGGTATTCGTCACATTCGCACGAAGCTTTATTTATTACCCCCTTTCAAAACTTCATTCCCTGTACAACCTATGATTGGAAACCACTGTTACAAACCATCATTCAAACCAACACAAGCTAACAGCTACCATCTCGGATATTGCAAGTCACAGACTTTTCAAACTAGTTCGCATTGGAAAAGATAAAAAGAGAAAATATCCTTTCTAAAACTTTCCTTTGCCAACAAAGGTCTCGATGCTATCAACTTGGGCAATATCCTTCATCATAAATCAGTTCACTGGAAGAGAAAAGAGGGACGAAAGATACCAGATGGGCAGTCAAACTCATAGATCGAAAACAAACTGACAACGCCATGGCCAAAAATAAAAAGACAAACAGACAAATAATAGTACAGATAACACAACATAGAAAACCATAGACTAAGCAACACTAACCCCACCAAAAACTGGGGGTGATCTCAGGTGCTCCGGAAGGGTAAGCAGATCCTGCTCCACATGTGGCACCCGTCGTGTTGCTTATGTTATTACAAATCCGGTAAATAGTCTAATTCGGTAAGTCACATTCGTGAAAAGGGAGGGTATTGTAGTTACGACATAAGGAACATATCCGATATCATCTGTGAAACGGTTATTCCATAACGGTCAACCAACTCGTGATGGCGTCCGTAAAATTTACGAAGGGATGACTTCAACTTCACCATTTGGAACTCTTGGTTTAATAGCTTCCTTGTGAGCAGCAACCCTCTATCAAGAAAATCATGATAGGAAACACAAGCCCTGGAATATCGTATCAATTGGGAGATATATACTCCGTATGCAGGCGCAGCTGGAATGTTGCTACATAGAAATGGAAAGTTCATAATTGGGAAGCTGAAATCATCTCTTTTGTCGTAAAGATTTGTTTTCAACCGACCCTCATTGTCAATTTTTAGATGTAAGTCAAGATATGAGGCAGACTTAACTGTATCTGTAGTATCCTTTATCTCTAGTTCGATGGGATAGATTCGTTCAACATAGTCACCAAATTTTGTATTATTTAGTGAGAGAATATCATCTATATAGCGGAACATAGAGTTAAAGGATATTGCTAACTTATGAAAATACCTCCCTATTTTAAAGATCAGTCTGTACCTATCATTTCTAATACCTATACCAAACCAATTGCAACTAAAATTTTCAATTACAAATACGTGTTGAAGGATCTCAATATTGACGACTTTAAGTCTAAACCTCCGGATTGCACCTGTGCTAGTTCCCCATTCATAAATAATACAGCTGGCCACGTTATTACTGGTGACCTAAACATTGTCAATAACCTTTTCTCTGCGAAATTTGTTATCCAAAGGCCCGAAAGATCGTGAGCCTAAATCCATCAGTTGGACGCACAACTTCAAAATACTGATGGATTCAGTCGAGGATTATGCCAGGCAATGGGTTAGAAGACGTAGATACTCTTTCCTAATGTACTAAGGCTGTGAGGTCGTTGGTACAAATCAGAATTAAAAAAAAAACTGAATGTATCTATGAATACCCATGCTACATCAATTATTAAAGATCCTAATGTTGCAAAACACTTTTTCTACCTCCATGACACATATGCTGTTGTCCCCGCAGATAAAGCCCCAAACAACATCGTTTTTGTGTGTAAATCACATTACATAAACTGCTTGATAAATTAATTAGGTATTGGCAATTCACTTAGAAACTCAACATATACCCCCACGACACTAACCAAGGAGGAAATCCTGGATAATCATAGGTCTGTTCTATGTTTCTTTGGAATTTCAACCAAAGATGAAGAACTGGATCTTCCATCGCTGTTTTGGATACCCAAACTACATAAGTGTCCTTATAAACAACGTTATATTGCTGGGTCTTTCAAGTGCTCTACGAAACCTCTTTCAAAATTATTAACATAAATTTAATCAG